AAAAAAAAAAAAAAAAAAAAAAAAAAAAAAAAAAAAAAAAAAACCTCTAAGGTCAAGTGCGCCTAGAAAAACGAAATCGAGGGGCGCACGCGACTCGACTATCACGATTTGCATGAACTTGAACTTTGATCTCGCAAAAAATACACACACACAGGAAATAAGAGTCCTCGAGTCTCTACAGTTATATATCCGCGATCGATATGTAATATGCAGCTCTTGTTGAGTACATCGTGAAAATAACGATGAAAAAAGAAGAAAAAAAAAAAAATCCCAAAGTGTGCAACATACAGAGATGTACAGAGATATACATAGGTATACAGGTACTAACCAAGAGACCGGTCGGCGATACGAAAATTCCGGAGCCGATCATAGTGCCAACGATTAGAGCCACCCCACTGACGAGTCCCACCCGTCTCTTGAGGTGAACAGGGTCGTCCTTCTCTGGGTCCTGCCCCGCCAGCCCTCGGCACCCTCCACCCCCGTCTTGGTCATTCCCCAGACCAGGCCCGCCCGTCGGCTGCTGTTCTTGCTGCTGCGTTTGTTGTAGTTGTTGTTGTTGTGGTGGTGGTGGTGATTGCTGAATTTGGGCTGGGAGCCGGCCTTCCTCGGCGAGCTCGGCCTTGGACCAGCAATTGTTGCGCATGCGCAGGTTCGCCGCCGGCGTTTGCTCGCCATTGCCAATCGGATGCTGATTACCACGTTGCTGCTGCTGCTGCTGCTGTTGATCGCACGGGCTACCTGATCCTGCATTGTTTCAATGTTGCTGTTGTTAATCATTTGTACATTGAGGTGCGAATATACATGTATATAATAAACGTTGGCTCGTCCAAAAAAAAAAAAGAACGGACAGCGTCAATAGTGAATAACGAAACGAATGACTGGACAAGCTCGCACAGACGATATGCAAATTTTCAAACACGCGCAATTAGTTGGCTGTCGTTCATCTAATGGACGGTAATTGTTATTCTACCGGGTATAAATGTATTTTTATTTTATTTTTAAAATTACCCTGCAACCCAAAGACAAGAGAAAAAAAAAAAGGAACTTACCACGGCAACGGCCTCGCTACCGATCATCTCGAGGGGCGACATGACCGCCAGATAAGAGACGTTGATGAGGGCGTAGCACAGGGTGACCAACGGTATGCCGATCATGATGGACCGAGGCAGGTTCTTGGACGGGTCCTTGATCTCCTCGGTCACGTAGTTGAGCTAAAATAAAAAAAAAAAATGAAAAAAAAAACGAAAAAAAGCAAAAAAATCGGCATCGTTAACGATAGGAAGATTGAGCTCGCGCAAAATAAAGACCCACGTTGTTCCAGCCGTCGTAAGCCCATAGCCCGGTGTAAAAGGCAGTGGCCAACCTGCCAAGGTTAAAAACCGACTTGGCCGGATCGTCGTCACCTGCCAGCTCCTCGATCAGGTCGAAGGGCCGTCTCAGGTGTTGGGTGTTGCCCTGCAAGAGTTTCCACGAGCCCCCAGCGACGATCACCAGTATGGCGATGAGCTTGCCCGCGGTGAAGGCGTTCTGGACGCCGGTGGCCAGGTTGACGCTGTAGCAATTGACGAGGAGAATGAGTACGATGGCGAGGAGGGCGACGAGCTTGACCAGCTCGGTGGGCGGGTCGCACTCGGCGGCGAAGGCCTCGACGGCGTATTGGGCGAACGACAGGCAGATGATGGCCATCTGCGAGGGCTTGAGGACGAGGGTCGACACCCAGGAGAAGAGGAAGGCCGGCGGGGCGCCAAAAGCGTCCATGAAGTACGCGTACTCGGCGCCGCTGCTCGTGTTCATCGTGCCGAGTTCCGCGTACGCCAACGCGCCGCAGAGACTCAGCAGGCCACAGCCCGTCCACACGACGAAGCTCATGCCGACGCTGCCGGTTCTTGTCTGAGGACATATACATATTGTGGTACTGTTTCATATTTTTTTTTTTTTTTTTTTTTTTTTTTTTTTTTTTTTTTTTTTTTTTTTTTT